GGACCCTGGCTCGGGACAGGGCTGGGGTGGGGGGGTGAGGGCAGCACCCAGCGAGTCCCCCCCCCTGGCCCAGCCTCCATCCTCAGCAAGAAGGCAGCGGAGCAGCTCTCGGCGCTGGTGCTGGACGTCAAGTTTGGGAGCGCGGCCCTGTTCCCCACGCTGGAGAGTGCACGGGAGCTGGCACACAGCCTGGTGAGCCCCCGGGACCCCCACCTGCCCCGGCACCGCGGGCGCTGGGGATGCCTCCTGCCTGCACTGCCTGTCCTGAGCCCTGCCTGCACCTCCCTACCTGCTCTGCCTGCACCTCCCTGCCTGCAATGACCTCTGCCTGCTCTGCCTGCACGCCCTGAGCCCTGTCTGCCCTGCCCTGCCTGCCCTGAGCCCTGCCTACACTACCTGCCCTGCCTGCATCCCCTGCACTGCCCCGATCCCTGCCTGCACTCCCTGCCTGCACCCCCCTGCACTGCCCTGAGCCCTGCCTGTGCTGCCTGCCCTGAGCCCTGCCTGCCCTGCTCTGCCTGCACCTCCCTGCCTGCAATGACCTCTGCCTGCTCTGCCTGCACGCCCTGAGCCCTGTCTGCCCTGCCCTGCCTGCCCTGAGCCCTGCCTACACTACCTGCCCTGCCTGCACCCCCCTGCACTGACCTGATCCCTGCCTGCCCTGCCCCGATCCCTGCCTGCACCTCCCTGCCTGCAATGACCTCTGCCTGCACTGCCCTGAGCCCTGCCTGCCCTGCCTGCACTGCTCTGCCTGCCCTGAGCCCTGCCTGTCCTGAGCCCTGCCTGCACCTCCTTGCCTGTCCTGCCTGCACTGAGCCCTGCCTACAGTACCTGCCCTGCCTGTGCTGATCCCTGCCTGCATTATCCTGCCTGTCCTGATCCCTGCCTATACTACCTGCCCTGCCTGTCCTAATGCCTGCCTGCACCCCCCTGTACTGCCCTGATCCCTGCCTGCACTCCCTGCCTGCACCCCCCTGCACTGCCTGCCCTGATCCCTGCCTGCACTCCCTGCACTATCCTGCCTGCCCTGATCCCTGCCCCCTGCCCGCAGGTGGGGGTGGGCGAGCGGCTGGGCATCCGCACGGCGGCCGTGCTGAGCCGCATGGACGAGCCGCTGGGCCGCTGCGTGGGCAACTCGCTGGAGGTGCTGGAGGCCCTGGAGTGTCTGCACGGGGGGGGACCCCCCGACCTGCGCGACCTGGTCACCACCCTGGGTCAGCCACCGGGACGGGACACGGGGGGACGGGGACACGGGGGGGACAAGGGAACAGGAACATTGTGGGACAGGGACACATGGGGCTGGGGAAGGGGGGCTAAGGAAAGAGGGGGGAGCAGGGACTGGGGGG